AAATTATAATAAAATTATAAATTTTTGTCTGTTGTCATTTTTATTTTATAATATTTATTTAAATAAATATGTATATTTTTTCATTTATTATTATTATTATTATTGTTTATTATTATTTATTTAAATATTTATTCATATTTCATTTTTATTGTTATCATTTTTTATTAAAATATATATGTATTTTTCATTTTATTATATTTTTATTGTTTTATTTATATTATTATTTATTTATTTTAATATTTATTAAAATACAATATTCAGTTATTGTTAATTTATTAGTACTATCATTTTATTAATATTATTACTATTTTATTTTATTTTATTTTATGTATTATTCATTTATTTATTTATTGATTTTATCCATACAGGGTAAAACAATATACACGAAGTACATTTATTTGTTTATTTGTTTAATTGGTTAATTTTTCAGTTGTTATTATTTTTTTAATTATTTTGTCTATTTATTTATTTAGATTGAGTATTATTATTATTATTATTATAATTATTATTATTATTTAATCATTTTACGCAAAAGAATTAAAAAGAAATATAAATACCTTTTTTTATAATAAATAAATTAAATTATTATAATAAAATTCTTAAATTTTTATTTGTTGTTATTTGTATTTTATTTAATTTGTTTAATTATTTGTTGATCTTTGTGCAGCACTATTATTAACCAAATGCTGATTTATTTTAGTGTACATTATTTATAGGACACAGACAAGACCAGATAAGAAGCCTTGTTTGAGACTAGCGTACCGCCACAAACCAGCAGTAGAAGCAGCTTTCCTCTGCGGTGATATATTTCTGCGTCTCCTGAAGCAGGTTAATTTTGTTCCTCTCCAAGATGAAGCCGGGAATGACAGCTGGCCTGTTATAGAGCCATTAGAGGAGTCCTTATAATCAGCGGTGTGATTATTCAACCTCCTCAACCTTTTACCGTCCAAAACTCCTTCCCGCCTCATCGTTTCCATGGTGAAAATGGGTCGAATGAACAGTTTAGTGTAGAACTTAAAGCGTAGCTGCGTAGTGTAAATTGATGGGAGATTTTTGGTAATTGCATGACTGGGCATTTATTAAACGCATTACTCCCTTTTTTAGATGAACTGACCATTTTTAACACGCTTTAATTGATTGAAAGCCTCAGTGGATGAGCTGATGGAGTTGTGCCAGGCATGGATTTAGCAGCGGTGGTGGCGTCTGCACTTGGGAATCTACAGTAGGATGCGTTCACAGTTAAGCTTTTTGGCTGACACTTTTATTGAATAGGTTGCTCCGGAGGTTGCTTACACTCAGAATAAATTGATGGAATTGTTCACCCAAAAATGAAAATTACCCCTTTTTTAGCCGTCCTTTGTAACCGAAACACAAAGTAGTTTTAAATTTTATCCTGACTCTTTTTGCCATCAAACACAGAACCAAAGAGAACTTTGTTTGACTTATATCAGGGCATGTATTGCTAAACTTCATAGTTTGTAGTTGCATTAATAATAGTTGGGTAATTAGGCAAGTTACTGTATAACAGTGGTTTGTTCTGGAGACAATCCAACACTAATATTGCTGAGGGGGCGAATAATATTGACCTTAAAATGGGTTTAAAAGAATTAAGAACTGCTTTTATTCTAGCCGAAATAAAACAAATAAGACTTTCTCCAGGAGAAAAAAATATTATAGGAAAGACTGTGAGAAATTCCTCGCTCTGTTTGATCATTTGATAATAAATATTTGAAAAATAAATAAAATAATTTTGTACTCCACAGAATCTGTTTCACAGAATCTGAAGACCCTTCCAAAGTTAATGTGACAATGACATGTTGGTATCTTTTGCCTCTGTTTTTTTATGCCATGAGGCGCTACTCAGTCTCTGACAGCCGACTTCTGGAGGGAAGACTTATAAATATGAGTGTATATAGGTACTACAGTGTTGACATGTCTACTAGACCAGTCAAGATCCGTGCATCTGCTGTGTGGTTGTCAGCCTGAGAAGTAGCAGTGCAGGAAAAAGTATGATTTTTTTTTTCAACCTATGTTGTGTAAATCAAGAAGAGAAGCGGGCCACGTAGCGAACCCTGAGGTACACCAGAGATCGGTTGATATGACTGAGGCTTCTTTTGCCTCCGAGTTGCCCTGAAGGATCTACAGGCAGTGTACATCTCAAGACAGCAGGTTGAAGTTCATGTGATGCCCGATGGACAAAAGTAGCCAGTGATTTAGACTGCAGACAGATCCAGTCAAAAGGAAGACAGATGATCTCCAGGCGACTTTTGCCAGCCGGAAGGGTTTCAGTGACAGATATTCTCTGGTGTCCAGGTGAAATGATTTACAGAAACCCTGTTGTTGTTTTTGGGCAAGAACTTGGCTCGGCTGTGGGGTTAAGTATTGGAAAAATTAACACTATTGAGATAAGGATTACAAAGGCAAGCTATTTTTCTTGACGCACAGATGAATTGTTCACCACAAAACTTGCAATGTGAGCTAACGAAAGCAATATGGTTAGTTTTAATATCATGTGTGCTTTATTTTGCATTTTGCACCAAGTCGAAGTGAAGACAAGCTTGGTTAAGTCTATTATAGTAGTCCCAACGCGAGCTAACATAAGCATGGCTGGCGTCCTCATGCTTGTTTTGTTGTGTAGGTTTCTGCGCTCTCTGACGCGCTCCCTGCCCTTATACATGACGCTCGCGTGGATCTTCTCGGTTGCGCTGATAGTCAAGGGTGTGGTTCAGGAGAAAGAGGCGCGTCTGAAGGAGACCGTGAGGATGATGGGATTGAAGAGCTCCACCTACTGGCTGAGCTGGGCCATCAGCAGCACTTTACCCCTCGCCGTCAGCGCCGCACTCCTCACGCTCATTCTCAAGGTGATTAACGCTGATTTGCTGCCGTTCACAAACACTGCGGTCAAACTCTGCATCCGAGATCTGATCTGGAGTACAAGATCAGAGAGCTTGCTTTGCATAAATGTATGAGACACTGCAAGATTTAAGGAGAATGGTGATTTCTTACTTGCGTACACTGATATAGGAGGATGCTACAGTAGCTAGACCAGTCATACCAGGATGGATATTTACAAAATGCATCGTTTACTATTGGTTTTTACTTTATATATCCTAAGTAATATGTTTTCTTACTATCACAAGTATTTTTTGAGAACCAAAAAGATGTCCGCAGAATATCTCAGCGGTTAAGTTGCACATCTGGTCTTCCAACAGTCAATAATTGCTACCAAAAGCCAAATTCTCAGTGGCTTTCTTAAGTTCACTAACACAGTAATGTGAGGTATGTCCATCCTGAAATTAATAGTAGCACTATATAATCATGCTTGTAAAGCTGGTCCAGGATCAGATAATGCAGTGTTTGTGAATGTGCGGTTATGCGGTGAGCTCAGTGTCTCTGTGTGGGTTCGAGAAGATGAGATGAGCCCTGAATATTCAACTGCACACAGGATTTGCTCACCTCGACCCACCAGAGCCTGACGTTTGCCATTTCTACAATCACAGATCTGCTTTTAATCAGTGCCGTCTCTCTCCGTCGCTGCTCTTGACAGATGCAATGCTGTTTCTCTTTCAGACCAGCGCCTGTTATTGTGCTCTACAATTCTATGGAGTTGTTCTATTTATTGGATTAGTTCACCCAAAAGATGAAGATTGCCCAATAATTTACTCCCCCTCAAGCCATCTTTGATGTGAATGACTTTTTTTTTCTGTCAGACGAAGCCAGTCGGTGTGGTTATAAACTTTATCCTGGCTCCTTCATGCTATTTAATGGTGCTGGATAGGGACTTTTATTTTGAAGCTTCCTAAAAGTGCATAAATGCATGGTCAAACTACCCAATACACCGCCAGGCGGTCAACACATGTCTTATGAAGCGGATCCATGTGTTTTGGAAACAGAAATATATACAGTCAAGCCCTAAAATATTCACTAAAAGTATCTATTATTGGTAATTTGGTCATTTATATCCCTAATTTGGCAACTGCTAAGTGTTGACTGGAAATCGGTTTAAGTTTCCATTTATTAAAAAAGCAAGTGGTCCATTAAGAGTGACACTTAACTTTACACAATGTGTTTGAGTGTATAAGTGCGTAAGTGTACAGTGTGTCATTTGGAGCACAACTTGTACATATACATCAGTCGCTCATAAAATCTCATTCACCATTCCCTAATTAAATAATATTTTATTTTGAATCCATACACCAATACTGTCGCCTCACAGCAGGAAGGTCACTGGTCCGAGGCTGGGCTGGATCAATTGCCGTTTATATGTGGAGTTTGCATGTTCTCCCCGCGTTCACATCGGTTTCCTACGGGAGCTCCGGTTTCCCCCACAGTCCAAACACATGGGCTATAGGGGCAGGGCCGGCGCGTCCATAGAGGCGACCTAGGGCGGCAGTATAGAGAGGGCGGCGTTCGCAACACCTCCCTCACCCCCGCGTCCTCAGTTATGTCCGCGACACCTCCCTTACCACCCGCATCCTGAGATATATTCGCGCATAGGCGACAAAATAGAGAGGGCAGCATCAGGGACACCTCCATCAGCACCCGCGTGTCCTCAGTTATATCCGCGTATAGGGCGACAGAATAAGGTCCGCGTCACCCGCGCGTCCTCAGTTATATCCGCGCAAAGGGCGTCAGAATAGAGAGAGCAGCGTCGGTGACACCTCCCTCCCTCCTTCAGCTCCCGCGCGTCCTCAGTTATATCCACGCATAGGGCGGCAGAATAGAGGTCCGCGACACCTCACTTCATTTTCATAACCGGTCACTTTCGTTTTCACACATTGGGGTTGAGGGCGGCGTGATCATCCTCTGCCTAGAGCGGCAGTTCAGCTTTCTCCGGCCCTGTATAGGGAAATTTGGGTAAGCTAAATTGTCCTTTGTGATTGAGTGGGTATCGATGTTTCCCAGTGATGGGTTGCAACTGGAAGGGCATCCGCTGCGTAAAACACATGCTGGAAAAGTTGGTGGTTCGTTCGTTTTTTCGGACTAAGCCGAAAAAAAAATGAATGAATGAACAACAGGCTGAAAATGTGGTGAAATCACGCTACGGCTGTTTATTTCTAGATTGCTTATGACAACACTATCGGTTGGGTTTAGGGAAGGGGGTTGATTGATCAGTCAGCAAGCAGGTCGGCTGAAGTGTATGTTGCACCCTCTGGTGGATGTACATGATAAGAGGATGCACAAGACTAATTTGAGATCATCAAAAAGCGTAGGCAGCGCCCTCTGGTGGATGTGCTAGAACAAAAACTGCTAAAAGATGGACCTTCTGTTACGCATTTAGCTCTCTCCAGAAATGTAGACAAGGGTTCATATCCGCAATGAGCCAGGGTTGAATGTGTTGTTGAAGGTAAGTGGTTGCAAACAATTTATATGGGCTGAATTTAACCACATATATTATGATTGAACTTTACTAAATTTAATTAGTTTGAATTCAGCCAATATAAATTGTTTGTAACCACTTATCTAAAAAAAATCGTCATTTTCAGTCTAATAAGCCAGTTGATAATGCAATATTTATATTTTTAATGCTTCTTTAAAGTACTTTATTAAAATTAGACTAGTAAATACAATTTTCTAGATGTTTTTTGCGGGGGACTTTAATGTTTTATGTTCAATCCAAGTTTATAAAAACTAATAAGATAACTTAATTGACTCTTGTGTTGTGACAATGTGAAGGAAATGCATTTATTTACAGTGTTACCAAAAAAGTAACACACAGTGAGGATGGCTTGAGGGTGAGTGAGCTATGTGGTAATTAAAATTTTGGGGTGAACTATTCCTTTAACTAATTCCTGTCACGCGGATCTCCTGATCCATCAACAGTCTCAGCAAGTGTGTTTTTACATGTCTTTCTGTCTCTCTCTCAGTATGGAAAGGTTCTGCGATACAGTGACCCTTCGGTGATCTTTGTGTTCCTGCTGGTCTTCTGCCTGGCCACAGTCATGCAGTGCTTTTTCATCAGTGTGTTTTTCTCTCGGGCGAATCTGGCTGCCGCCTGTGGGGGCCTTCTGTACTTCCTGCTCTACCTGCCGCACGTGCTCTGCTACGCCTGGAGGGACGTGCTGGGATTCGGAGCCAAAATCGCAACGGTGAGAAATCAAGCCTGAAACCAGCAGATGATGAAAACAACAGCAGAGAGAAGCAGAGGTGCTCTAATTACATTATAGGGTGATGCGGTGATCACGTCAGGACCCTTAAGAAGTGTTGTTCTCCAGAGTTTACATTAGAATTTCTGGAGTGTACCGGTGAAGTCTTTACAATAATCTTATAGCATGTTTGCTGTGTAAAAGGGCTATTGTTGAGTTGTTGAGTTATGTTTATCACATTTTCTACTTTGTTAATTGATTTATTGAATAATTTATTAAGTCATCATTACACAAAATAAAAAATAAACCCTCAACGTGTTCTTCTGGGATCTGATGACACCCATGCACCACTCTACTACATGTGCACTTGTAGAGCTTTAAAAATAGTTAAAAATGTTTTTGATCTAAATGATTGACAGCCCCACCCTAAATGACTGATAGCCCCACCCTAAATGACTGATAGCCCCACCCTAAATGACTGACAGACCCACCCTAAATGACTGATAGCCCCACCCTAAATGACTGATAGCCCCACCCTAAATGACTGATAGCCCCACCCTAAATGACTGACAGACCCACCCTAAATGACTGATAGCCCCACCCTAAATGACTGATAGCCCCACCCTAAATGACTGACAGACCCACCCTAAATGACTGATAGCCCCACCCTAAATGACTGATAGCCCCACCCTAAATGACTGATAGCCTCGCCCTAAATGACTGATAGCCCCACCCTAAATGACTGATAGCCCCACCCTAAATGACTGACAGACCCACCCTAAATGACTGATAGCCCCACCCTAAATGACTGATAGCCCCACCCTAAATGACTGATAGCCTCGCCCTAAATGACCGGTAGCCCCGCCCTAAATGACTGATAGCCCCACCCTAAATGACCGATAGCCACGCCCTAAATGACTGACAGACCCACCCTAAATGACTGATAGCCACGCCCTAAATGACTGATAGCCCCGCCCCAAATGACTAGTAGCCCCGCACTAAATTACTAATAGCCTTCCCTAAATGACTCATAGTCCTGCCCTAAATGACTGACAGCCCCGCCCTAAATGGCTGATAACCCCACCCTAAATGACCAACAGTGCCACCCTAAATGACTTAAAGCTCCGCCCTAAATGAATAATAGCCCCGGCCTAAATAACTAATAGCCCACCCCAAACGACTCATAGCCCTGCCCTAAATCACTGATAGTCGCTCCCTAAATGACTTATAGCCACACCCTAAAGGGCTGATAATCCCACCTTAAATGACTGAAAGCCCTGCCCTGAATCACTGAAAGTCCCATCCCAAGCAACTCAGTCCTGCTCCAAATCACTGATGGTCCTGCCCTAAATGACTGATAGCTCCGCCCTAAATGACTGCTTGCCCTGCCCTACATGACTGGCAGTCCTGCCATAAATAACTGACAGCCCCGCCCTAAATGACTGCTAGCTCTGCCCTAAATGTCAAGTAGCCCCAGCTTTAAGTGATTGATAGCCCTGCCCTAAATAATTGATAGTCCCACCCTAAATGGCTTATAGCCCCGCCCTAAAGCACGTATGGTCCCACCCTAAATTAATAAAAGCTTAGCCCAAAATAACTGATAGCCCACCCCAAATGACTCATAGCCCTGCCCTAAATCACTGAAAGTCCCACCCTAAATGACTTATAGCCACACCCTAAAGGACTGTTAACCCTTCCTTAAATGACTAATGGGCCTACTCTAAGGGTGCTTTCACACCTGTGAATGGATTCAGTTGTTCCGAAACAGAGATTACAAATGTTACATTGTTGCTCTTTGCTCTTGGAGCGGTTCACTTTCACACTGCAAAGTTTCTAATCGGACCAAAAGAGCTAAAACAAGTCACGTGTGAGTAAACTCTCCTCACATTGGTCAGAGTGTCAGGGTTTATTTTGCAGCGTCCCGCTCAGCTGTCAGGAGAGGTGGTGGTTTGGTGGTGATTGACAGGGTGCGCACGCGTGACGTGTCTGAGGAGAGATGCGGTGGGGAGGGGTGAGAAGGGTGTGCGATGATGCCTATTTGAGGACAGGGAGGGAGACGCGAGATCACCGGGAGATCATCACTCGTTTGCGGGCATCCAGAGACTCGCGAAACTTCCAGCCCTACTCATAATTCTCTCTTCATATAGCCGTAAGCCTATTACATATCCATAAAACACTGTGATATAACCGCGCGCTTGGATTGGATCGCTTTCTCACTGCAATCGAACCGCTCCAGGGTTCATTTCAATCGAGCCGAGACCACCTCATTCAAGCGATCTCGGAGCGATTACTTTGGCGTGGAACAGAGCGCGATTGCCCTGTTCACATATGCCAAACGAACCGCGCTAACTGGGCAAACGAGACACGTTCCGAAACAAAAGTGTAGGTGTGAAAGCAGCCTAAATCACTGATAGCCCCGCCCCAAACAACTCATAACCCTGCCCTAAATCACTGACAGCCCTGCCCTAATTGACAGATGGCATCACCCAATAGGACTGATAGCCCACCCTACATGATTAATAGTCCCACCATAAAGAACTGATAGCTCCGCCCTAAACACTTTCCATGTGACCAGAAGTAAAGAAAGTTGTTTGTAGGCATGAGGGAAGGTTAAGATAATCGATTACAGATTCTGAGAGCAAATCAATGCAAGATAATTATAAATAATTTATTACAGGCATTACTGTGTACATTTATACAATATGAAGAGTACATCTTGATTTCACACCAACTTTAAACATCTGCAGGTGTTTTTTTTATTAGGTTTGGGAGGGTCAAACACATGCATAGGGCATCTTTAAGCTGCAATTAATCATCCAATTAGTTTCCGGTAATTCTCATAGAGCATTGTTATTTCCGGTGCTCTCTCTAAAGAGGCAGATGGAGAGGAGGAGGCAAGAGACAGTGGGAGGAGCAGAGAGAGCAGGAGCTGTTATTTGTGCTGTACGTTGATTTAAAGCCTCAGAGAATGAGGAGCTTTCTCCGGCAGAGACTGAGATCTCCTTCAGGAGCATTAGTGAGAGCGATGGAGGAGCACAGATGAACTTTCAGGAGGAGAGAGAGAGGCAGAGAGAGAACGCGAGAGCAAATGACTTACAGCTGCACTTCTGTCATTGTGACCAATCAGTCTGACCTTTATCCCAGAGATTCACTCAGTATTCAGCAGTGTGTGTGTGTGTGTGTGTGTGTGTGTGTGTGTGTGTGTGTGTGTGTTAGCGCGTGTGTGTGTGTGTGTGAGAGAGAGAGAATGTGTCTGTGTGCATTTGTGTGCGTGTTTGTGGGTGAGTGTTTGAATATGTTCCATGGAGTGTGGTCAGTTATTTAGGGTGGGGCTATCAGTCGTTTAGGGCAGAGCTATAAGTCCTTTAGGGCGGAGCTATCAGTCATTTAGGGCAGAGCTATAAGTCCTTTAGGGCGGAGCTATCAGTCGTTTAGGGCAGAGCTATAAGTCCTTTAGGGCGGAGCTATCAGTCATTTAGGGCAGAGCTATTAGTCCTTTAGGGCGGAGCTATCAGTCATTTAGGGCAGAGCTATTAGTCCTTTAGGGCGGAGCTATCAGTCATTTAGGGCAGAGCTATTAGTCCTTTAGGGAGGAGCTATCAGTCATTTAGGGCGGAGCTATCAGTCGTTTAGGGCAGAGCTATAAGTCCTTTAGGGCGGAGCTATCAGTCATTTAGGGCAGAGCTATAAGTCCTTTAGGGCGGAGCTATCAGTCATTTAGGGCAGAGCTATTAGTCCTTTAGGGCGGAGCTATCAGTCATTTAGGGCAGAGCTATTAGTCCTTTAGGGCGGAGCTATCAGTCATTTAGGGCAGAGCTATTAGTCCTTTAGGGCGGAGCTATCAGTCATTTAGGGCAGAGCTATTAGTCCTTTAGGGAGGAGCTATCAGTCATTTAGGGCGGAGCTATCAGTCATTTAGGGCAGAGCTATTAGTTCTTTAGGGTGGAGCTATCAGTCCTTTAGGGCGGAGCTATCAGTCATTTAGGGCAGAGCTATTAGTCCTTTTGGGCGGAGCTATCAGTCATTTAGGGCAGAGCTTTAAGTCCTTTAGGGCGGAGCTATCAGTCATTTAGGGCAGAGCTATTAGTCCTTTAGGGCGGAGCTATCAGTCATTTAGGGCAGAGCTATTAGTCCTTTAGGGCGGAGCTATCAGTTATTTAGGGCAGAGCTATTAGTCCTTTAGGGCGGAGCTATCAGTCATTTAGGGCAGAGCTATTAGTCCTTTAGGGCGGAGCTATCAGTCATTTAGGGCAGAGCTATTAGTCCTTTAGGGAGGAGCTATCAGTCATTTAGGGCAGAGCTATTAGTCCTTTAGGGCGGAGCTATCAGTCATTTAGGGCGGAGCTATCAGTCATTTAGGGCAGAGCTATTAGTTCTTTAGGGTGGAGCTATCAGTCCTTTAGGGCGGAGCTATCAGTCATTTAGGGCGAAGCTATCAGTCCTTTAGGGCGGAGCTATCAGTCATTTAGGGCAGAGCTATTAATCCTTTTGGGCGGAGCTATCAGTCATTTAGGGTGAAGCTATCAGTCATTTAGGGCGGGGCTAACAGTCATTTAGGGTGGGGCTGTCAGTCATTTAGGGCGGGGCAATCAGTTATAAAGACATGCATAAATAATTTAGTATTCATGAAATGTAGTATAGGATTTGCTTGGAAAAAATTGTCATGTGATTTTAAACCAAATCAAAACATTTGCAAGCAGCACAGTAATAAATGCTGAGAGTGTAAAGTAAAGAGACTCTGTGTGTGTGTGTGTGTGTGTGTGTGTGTGTGTGTGTGTGTGTGTGTGTGTGTGTGTGTGTGTGCGTGTGTGTGTGTGTGTGTAGAGTCTGCTGTCGTGTGTGGCGTTCGGATACGGCTGTGAGAATTTCTCCACCTATGAAGCTCAGGGTGTGGGGATCCAGTGGAGCAACATCCGCAGCAGCCCGCAGGACAACGACAGATACTCCTTCATCGTCTCCATCTTCATGATGCTGTTCGATGCGCTCATATACTGGACCCTCACCTGGTACATCGAGAACGTCTATCCAGGTGCTCAAAACAACAACACACACCTGTACAAGGGCAGATTTTCAGATTTAATTGGTTAAATCTGTGTACTTAACCCTGTATGTTGTAATAGCAACGTGTTATTATGGGAAAATAATGAGTCGAAATAACCAGATATGTCGTAATAACAGGTTATCATGTTCAAATAATGAGTTATGTTGAAATAACAAGTTATGTCTTAATAGCAAGTTATTATAGGGAAATAATGCATTATGTCTAAATAATGAGAATGACTGATAGTCCCACCCTATAGACTGATAGCTCCGCCCTAAATCACTGATAGTCCTGCCCTAAATGACTGATAGCTCCGCCCTAAATGACTGGCAGTCCCACACTAAATGACTGATAGCCCCGCCCTAAATGACTGATAATCCCACACTAAATGACTGATAGCCCCGCCCTAAATGACTGATAATCCCACACTAAATGACTGATAGCTCCACCCTAATTTACTTATAGCTCTGTCCTTAATGACTGATAGCCCCGCCCTAAATGACTGATAATCCCACACTAAATGACTGATAGCCCCGCCCTAAATGACTGATAATCCCACACTAAATGACTGATAGCTCCACCCTAATTTACTTATAGCTCTGTCCTTAATGACTGATAGTCCTGCCCTAAATGACTGATAGCTCCGCCCTAAATGACTGGCAGTCCCACACTAAATGACTGATAGCCCCGCCCTAAATTACTGATAACCCCACCCTAAATGTCTGATAGCTCCACTATAAATGACTGATAGTCCCACACTAAATGAATGATAGCTCCACTCTAATTTACTTATAGCTCCGTCCTAAATGACTGATAGCCCCGCCCTAAATTACTGATAACCCCACCCTAAATGTCTGATAGCTCCACTATAAATGGCTGATAACCCTGCCCTAAATCACTCATAGTCCCGCCCTAAAGGACTGATAGCTCCACCCTAAAAGCTGTCCATGTGACAAGAAGTAGAGTAATTCATTTCAAGGCAGAACGGAAGTTTAAGGTATTCGATTAAAGATTCTGGGAGCAAATACATTTTTACAAACAATTTATTACAAGCACTGCTATATACATTTATAAAATATGAAGAGTACATTTAATTTCATGCCGACTTAATATCCCGTATGAACTAGATGATATGTCATAATGATGAGAGAACAGTTTTGTATTGATCATATCATATACTGAGTTTTCGCCATCATCGCTACAGTTTTAATGTTATTTACGGCAAAAATAATGGAGCATTAGTGAGCAGAAGACGCTTTTTAAAGATTTTACCGAACAGAAAATAAGCTGGCTCATGTTGAAGAGCAGATCTGCTCTGTGTTTTTCTCCACAAAGAGTGAAAGGAAAATCAATCCTCCTCCTTAAATGCGAGACACAATATCCCTGAGGTTTTAATGCTGAATATAAAGCGTCTGATATTACAGCCCTGTAATGCAGCGGTATAGAGAGAGTGATGTAGGACTATGCTCAATTCCAATGACAATAATAGAAATGTAAAACCACTATAATCAAATGACTCGCTAAACTGTATATGAAGCATTATTTTACATGAAACAACCAGTTCAGTCTGTCTTATCTTCAGAGAAACCTTTCCTTGTGTTCAAACAAGACTGAACAATCTGAATGTAGTAGTATCCGTGACGTCACCAATACATTTCTGAAAGATGCAAATGAAGCTGCAAGTGGGCGTGGCCAACAGTTGACGTTTTGTTTTCGCATCATCGACCACCAATGATTAATAAATGAAACAAATACATGCAACAACAGGGTGGCTCAGTGGTTATTTCTGTCGCCTCACTGCAAGAAGGTTGCTGGTTCGAGTCCAGGCGGGGTCAGTTGGTGTTTCTGTGTGGAGTTTGTATGTTCTCCCTGTGTTGGCGTGGGTATTCTCCGTGTGCTCCGGTTTGCCCCCACAGTACAAACACATGCGCTACAGGGGAATTGATTAACTAAATTGGTCGTAGTGAATGAGCGTGTGTGTGTGTGAATGAGTGTGTATGGGTGTTTCCCAGCACTGGGTTGCAGCTGGAAAGGAATCCGCTGGTTAAAACATATGCTGAAAGAGTTGATGGTTCATTCCACTGTGGCGACTACTGATAAAAAAGGGACTAAGCCAAAGGAAAAGGAACGAATGAAAACAAATACATTTATATATAAAAGTAGATACGAATTTTACTCACTTGGGAAATGGAGACCACTTGAACGGTTTGTGAACACAATTAAGTGCACACGGCACGCCATATCATCTGATAATTGTAGGAAAGGATCCCAAAAGACAACTGACTGCGTAAAGCCACATAAAACAAAACAAAAATATGATATGAATATGCCGAGTTCAGCGGCTAATCAGCCGGAATCAGCTGAGGTGAGGTGATGGCGACCAGTAAGATCTAGCTGTCACTCAAGTGCCCACACTCTTAATTTTGCAGACCTAATATAAATGAAACGAATAAGTTATGAAAAAATAACCCACCTCACAGGTGTCATGAAGGGTAATATTAGCTATATGCACCAAAACAATCTTTTGTACCAGGCTGTAAAAATGTTTTATCAGCTGTAAAATTGGCCAATTTAGCATTGCAGTCAGTGAACATCTGGAGTTACTGGAGCCAGCCCCCAGTGGCCAGTAGATGTATTGCACTTTTAGTTACTTCTGTATTGGCTTCACGAGGGAAAGTGGGATGTTGCCACTTAGTTAAAAATAGGCAAAAGTGAAGGATTTTTTATTGTTTAATATTTTTAAATATTGTGAAGTGAAGCAAGTCAAAATTGCAGGGATGACAAGAGTTCTGCAGGCAGACAACTCTCGATTTTTAGTGGGACATTTAAACTCCGAAATCTCAGAATTCAGAGGAAAACTCAACAAAAGAGGATGTTTTCTGAGATTATTAGTGTTTGAAATAGTTTGTGTGTTTCTTCAGGCCAGTACGGGATTGCAAAGCCGTGGTATTTCCCCTTCACCTCCTCATACTGGTGTGGATCAAGAGTGGGATCTGATGGCCATCCAGACCTGCTGCAGGACCTAGAAAACCAGAGCGGTACACACACACACACACATATGCACACACAAACAGACAGACAGACAGATACCAAACACACTCCTCTAAATGAGTGTGTTTGTGCAGGTTTTCTGGAAAAGCCTCCATCTGGCCTGAAGCCCGGCGTCTGCATCCGGAACCTGGTGAAGGTTTATAAGACGGGGAATAAATTGGCGGTGGATGGACTGAGCCTGGACTTCTATCAGGACCACATCACCTCATTTCTAGGACACAACGGAGCCGGGAAAACCACTACCATGTGCGTTCTCACACAATCATATATGCATATTGTGTTAAATATTGTGATTTACATATTGTTAAAAAAACGTTATATAGTCAAGCATGTTTCGCAGTGAGCTTGTAGCCTCCTCTGTGTTGTCGAAATGCACCTCCTGATGTTTTTGTTGTTGTTTTATCAGGTCGATTCTGACGGGTCTGTTTGCTCCCACGTCTGGAACGGCTTACATTAACGGCTACGACATCCGAACAGACATGGACTGCATCAGAAAACAGCTGGGAATGTGTCCGCAACACAACGTGCTCTTTGACGAGTGAGTAAATCCTCCAACACACTACACAACTCACTCGTTATGTCTGAAAACAAGACAATATTTTTACTTAATTTTATTTAATTTGTAGAAATTTGGACAAGATACAAGACAAAAACTCGGGAAACCATTTTTTTATTTATTGAATTTATTCATTCATTCATTTATTAATATTATTATTTATTTATTCATTTATTCATAAAACCTCCCATCCCTACGGTATGCACATTGTACTTATTTTTGAATGTACTTATTTTTGAATGTACTTACTCTGTAGTTAAGTCCACTTAATGAAAGTGTGATTCAGATTAAATGTCTTTGTTCGTTTTCTCAGTCTGACGGTGGAGGAACACATTTACTTCTATGCCCGTCTGAAAGGCAGAAGCTCTAAAGAGGTGAAGAAGGAAATCGATCAGATGATAAAAGATGTTGGTCTTCCTCACAAACGCAAAGACCTAGCTAAGAATCTCTCAGGTGTGTGTGTATCACGATGCTGGCTTAACAAACTTAGTATTACAGAATTAGTTTGGAGTTGACAAAACCAAACCAGTGCATTCAGGCATTGTTGGTATCATGAAGCTGATCATCAGAACATAACCTGAACATTACCTTGACATAAGAATATAACCCGAACACAACAGAAACATAACATAATCAGAACATAACAACAATAACCTGAATATAGCAGGAACATAATCTGAACATAGCCTCAACATAATCTGAACATATCCAAAACATAATCTGAACATAAACTGAACATAATCAGAACATAACCTG